AGTAGCATCAAACAGGGAACGTTCGCAAAAAGTAAAAACATCCGGCCTTTGTTGGCGAATTCGTCCTGTTTTTCTATGATCTTAAGCAGTTTGGCGTCCCTTATGCTGACGATCTCCCCGGCGACCAATGCCCAGAGGATGTTGAGGATGGCGACGTTTAGGCTATGGTCCACCGATGTCGGCTGTCCTTTGCTGGGCTCCATCACCTCCTCTATGAACTCTTTGATCTGATCGTGGATTATTTCAACCGACCTGGACCGGCCCATGCCAAAGTTTTTCAAGTGAAAGAGGGTAAAACGCCGTGTCTCGTGCCACAATCCACCACTAGTGAGAATTATCCCCTTGTCGGCATACAGAAGCTCGAAGCCGGGGCTGCTCTGGCGGGCGACAGCCAACGGTCCGTTGAACGCCTCTCGGATCAAATCGGGGTCGGAGAGGACGATCATGGTCTCCCAGCCGGCGGTCACCTTCATTATCGGCCCGTATCGGCGGCTCCACTCGGTGAAACTGCGGTCCGGGTGGCCCCAGTCTATGGAGAGTGCCCGGCCGATCAGCGGCAGGCCTCTCGGACCTGCGGGAAACAGACAGACTTATTTGACTGATGGAATAATGTGCACTTCTGCAGCAAAGAACGCTCTATTTCCTGAAATTTTACAGCATTTTATGATAGGAACAACATAATTTACTAAGGCGGGCAAGCATCCAGGGGCGTAGCAAAAAAAAAAAAACGGAGGGGGCTAGAATTGGCGAGGGCGCCAATTTCGGGTCACGATGGCGCCAATTTCGGCTCAAGAGGACGCTATCAAATATCAATGCCGATGCTTACCGTCGCGGGCGCCTAGAGTGCTGGGCATTGGAAAGGCGCCTTCGGCACCCAGAAATGCGCTTTCCCAGAGGGCGTCTGCTAGATTTGGGAGGGGCTTAACCCTCGCCCGTATTGGTGTTTTTCCAGCCGCGAACGTATAAGGGGGGGGGGGGGTCCGATGGAGCCCCCTTGCCGTTTCGTCCCTGATCGAGCTAGAGCTTCGCGAAAAAAAAACGAGCGTGTTGCCCGTGACAAGAGGAAGCCGATGATACCCAATTTTAAGGTCCTAGGTCATCGGTTGACCTTCCAGGTCAGGTCAATGACCCAAAAGTCGGGAAAATCGGGACCTGTTAGAAAGTCGTAAAGCGTGGCTGCTATGGAGTTTTTCGGGGTGCTGATCACGAATATCATGTTAGTTTTGATCACAGATGATGTCTTCATGCATTTAGGCCAGGTCGGGTCAGGTCAGGTCAGGTCAGGTCAACCAGTAAGGGTATTCGTAGTAGGTGGCAACCACCTCTGACAGCTTCGTAACATGTTACGAAGGTGCCAAAACTACTTCGTAAATGTTCATATGGTTGCTAAATTCGAATTCAGCTCCAAAAACTGGCCTAGAAACATGTAAAACTCGAAAAAGTGAACCGAGGTCATCAAAGGTCAATGACCTGACCTGACCTTCCGGTGACCTTGACACCCACCCTAATGCATGGGAGCAACATCATATCCCATGTTTGAACGCTTAAAACCACGAAAAGACTACAAACGCGCGGCTAATGCGAGCCGACATACGCCGAATCGCGATTCCGGCCAAACATGGTCTCGGAAAGTAGGTCACAGGTCAAAGGTCATTAGGGTCAGGGTCATGAATATTTAAGGGTAGGTGTACAATTGAATAACGCGAGGGTACTGAAAGTTGCGTGGCGATCGGCCGCTTTTTACGCGAGTTATTCGCGAAAAACCGAGGGGGGTCCGTTTGACCCCCCCTATACGGGCGAGGGTTAAGCCTAGTGTGCCCCGCCCCCCTTGGCTGCGCCCCTGCAAGCATCAACCGTCGGCTATCAGCTTTAGAAGCCAGCTGGGCAATGTCAAAATTGATAGTCATGAGAGTAGAATCATGACGTCAAAAACTGTTACAGACGAATAGTTCTACATACAGTCGGCATTGAAAGGAATGAAAATTGAAAAGTCTGCAGTTTTTACCACGTTCTATCTACTTTATACGCATTTCCCGGCTCCCGCGGTCTCTGAAGTGGTGGTTGGATTTGAGACTTGAGTCCATTTAGCGATGACTAATTCATGTTTTTACTTTATAGTTAATGTTAATTTTGTGAATGCACAAATGAAGCAAAATCCTAGTTGCCGCTACATTTCAGAGAGTCAGAGACCTAGCTGTTACGCTTCTTTACTTCTATCATTCCTTCTTTTACTTGTTTGTCATGCGTAAGTATAGCCATTATATCTGATATAGGGTCCCTCATGGTTCACCGTGCACTTACCTGGCGGATGGTTGTTCTTCTTGAGCACGCTGTACAGAGCTGTGGCCAGCACTGCCAGCATGATGGCCAGCAGCGCCACGAACATGACGAAGGCGAAGGAGGCGTTACTGCGGTGGCTCGACGGACGACCCTGCAGCTTGCTCTCACAGCGGTGGAGTCTGGTGCTCCACACGCCACACCGCTCGCCCGGCGTCCGGCCGGCCGGCGGCCTCCGCGCCGCACCGGAATGCTGTTTATGCTTTCCAGCGGCAGGCTAAGCCAAGGCTACATTTATCAGGCGCGGATCCAGGGGCGGCGGGGGTAGCCCCCCTCCATCCGAAAAGGCGCCCATAGCCCGCGGCAGAGAGGGCGCCCCGAGCAGATGAGCAGCGACACAGCTAAGGTTGAGGAGAAATAGGGCGCCTCCAATAGAAGTTGGGCTCACCAAGCAGGAGAGCGACGCCCAATTGTCCATTCCCAGCAGATGAGAGTCGCCCCAGCAGCAGATGCGTTCCCCCAGCAGAAGAGGGGCGTCTTATTACAATAATAAAAAGATACCTTCTGTTCAAGAGGGGCGCCCCTGGCAGTGGAAGGGCACCCCAGCAGGAGAAAGCACCCCCGAAATGGAGCGACGCCCCAGCAAAAGGAGAGAGGCGCCCCCATTCCGAGATCAAAATGCCTGCTTTGTCATATTATCAGATAGTATCATCGATTAAAACACTAAAATAAGTTCATAAAATACAGATATTTACTGTAAAAGAGATTAGGTGCAGATTTGGTCAAATTAGGTGCCCTCGCCGGATAGCCCGTCGTGAAAACGGCTTTAATCCACACAAGCCGTTTTCGCGACGGGCTATCTGACGAATGCACCTTATTCTCACCAAATCTGCACCGTAGCTAGTTAATAACAAATATCTTTATACAATGACGTTATTTCAGTGTTGCAATTGATGATTATGTCTGATAATATGAGAAAGCATGTATACTCGTATACAAGCAATTAGTAGAACCCTAGCTGACTGCTACTATGAAATACACAAAATCTTCTTTCGCCAAAGCCTCACCAAATCTGCATCAAATGCGAGCCAAATGTCCGTCGTGAAAACGGCTTCTTTTCTCAAAAATGAGCTTGTACAGCCGAAACTATCTTACAGAAGCTTGGCTGAAACTATAACATCGGCGTGAAAAGACTCAAACAGACTATGCGATATCTGACTCATTTCTACTCATGTTTTCAGACACGACAGACTCGTTTTTGTAATTAATACATGTAAAATATTCTTGTATGTGTAGATTCTACACTTTTTTACTTAAAATCATTATTAGAAGGATGAATAACCTGTTGCTCATTTCTATCAGAAATAGAAAAAATAAATGGTTTATTTTTTCTATTTCTGATAGAAATGAGCAACAGGTTATTCATCCTTCTAATAATCTTATTAACAATGCTCAGCTCAACGTTCAAATACCTAAAATCATTATTCAGAGGTATGTACGCACACATCACGTCTGTCTGGAGCCTGCTCTGCGATGCGATTATGCGATAGGAAACCGTTGTTAAGAGGGTGTTGTTGTGGTGTTGAACTCTCTTAAAGGTATTGTTGAACATCATTTAAAGTATAACATGGCACTTTTAACAGTGGCTGACACCCGTAAAACACCCCAGAGGAATAATTTTTTATCAGTGTAAGCGTCGTAAACGAAAGCAAATTTGTTCCGTAACAACAGTGAAAATACCGGTACTGCACCGGTATTTAGTCCAGCCCGGTAGTCCGGTGCAAAATATTCACGGTGAAAAATATTATTGTGCATGAATGTAGGTATCCGGCGAAAGTATTCAGCGGCAAAAAAAAAAATAGTCAGTTGCAGCAGCCCTGTGAAATCCTAAACGATTTCTCTCATCAATTAAAATATTTACCATAGAGAGGAGCCTGAAGACTGCCAATCGTCGACAAACCCCTCCGGCAGATTTGCAGAACACTGCTAACCAAACAGCTCAAACGCCTCCCGCCGCCACTTTTGTCGAGCGCCGACATTGCTCCTAACTTTGATACTGCCTTATGATAATAACACATGACATTAGTTAACACACTGGTGAAAGGCGCTGGGAACAATAAACACTCGTACACCATCTCGAGTCACGGCTGCTGAGCACGGTGCCAGCTGGCTGCACCTACTCGTATAGGTACTCTGCGCTGGACCCTCGCACCTGTCAGCCGCGTCAAATTCGGGTGGTCGCTTGCGCTGCCACTGCCCTTCGTCACATGGCCCTGTTCTGAAACTGAATGTCTGGTGCGGGACAGATTGATCAGACAGTGATACGTGTAACGTGATGATGCAAACGGTGATAGATTACTCAGACTAGATGCTGCACACAAGCCAAACTGTATTTATTTTTCGTTAACGCTCTGGGCTGCTTGTTCGTAAAGGATAGTGTCAGCTCAGTCATCAGAGCATTTTAATTGGTTTGCTAAACAGTTCTCCTAAACACTATCTAAATTTTTTATCTAAACACTTCTCCTCGAAGCAGGGTCCCATTTGGACACTGTTTTCGTAACCTGAACGTGCGCCTCTGATTGACTTTCTCGATTATTGTAAATATACCCGAAAAATGACACATATGGAGTCGGAACGCGTGTCTTGAAGACTGCATACATATTATCGCCTCTCCGGGATCAGCTGGTACGGAGTCGGTTCCTTGATGAAAGGCTTGGACTCATTGATGGCGAAGTCGTGCTGGAAGCCGTCGGGAAACCGGAGCCTGTAGCGCTGCACCACGCTGGTGACGAACAGGAAGAGCTCTGTGCGCGCCAGCGTCTCTCCCAGACAGGAGCGCCTGCCCACCGAGAATGGCATCAGCGCGCGGCTGGGTCGTAGCTGGCCGCGCTCGTCCAGGAACCGCTCGGGTCGGAACCGGTGAGGCTCCGGGAACAGCCTGCCGTCGAGGTGGACAGCGGTCAGGTTGGAGATGACCTGGGCGCCGCGCGGCACCGTGTAGCCGCCCAACCGGAACTCAGCTGTGCTCACGTGTGCCACCCCAATACCGGCAATGTTGGACAGACGCTGCGTCTCCATGAGGAAGGCCTCCGTGTAGGGCATGCTGGCCTTGTCCGCGAGCTCTGGCGCCCGCTCTCGGCCGATGACGCGGCAGATCTCGTCGTGGAGCCGCTGCTGGACCTCCTGGTGGGTGCAGAGGAAGCAGAAGGCCCAGCGCAGCGTGCTGGCCGTGGTGTCGAAGCCGGCGACGAAGAGATCAAGGATGCAGCGCAGCAGGTGCCGGTCGGTGAACAGCTCCGGCTGGCGGCTCTGCTCCTGCAGCAGACAGTCGATGTAGTCGCGCGCCTCTCCGGTCAGGTCCACGGTGCGCCGGTGGCTCTCTATCGCTGGCAGCAGCAGATGGTCGATTGGGTAGTGGAAGATGGCACGGATCTTGTTGATGCCGGTGATCCACTCTGGCAGTAGCATCAGACAGGGAATGTTCGCAAGAAGGAAAAACAGCCGGGCTTTGCTGGTGAATTCCTCCTGTTTCTCTATGATCTTGAGCAGTTTGGCGTCCCTTATGCTGACTATCTCCCCGGCGACCAGTGCCCAGATGATGTTGAGGATGGCGACGTTCAGGCTATGGTCCACCGATGTCGGCTGTCCATTATTAGGCTCCATCACCTCTTCCATAAACTCTTTGATCTGATCGTGGATTATTTCAACGGACCTGGACCGGCCCATGCCAAAGTTCCTCAAGTGAAAGAGGGTAAAGCGTCGCGTCTCGTGCCACATTTCACCACTGGTGAATATTATCCCCTTGTCGGCATACATGAGCTCGAAGCCGGCGCTGCTCTGGCGGGCGGCGGCCATCGGTCCGTTGAAGGCCTCTCGGATCAGGTCCGGGTCGGAGAGGACGATCATGGTCTCCCAGCCGGCGGTCACCTTCAGTATCGGCCCGTATCGGCGGCTCCACTCGGTGAAACTGCGATCTTGGTGGCCCCAGTCAATGGAGAGCGCCTGGCCGATCAGAGGCAGGCCTCTCGGACCTGCGGGAGACAGACTGAAGTCAGACTGATCTGACAGACGGATTAATTAATGTGCGTTTCTGGAGCAAAGAGCATTCTACTGCCTGAACTTTTACATTCTTTTTTTTTCGGAATGAGATACCTACCTAAAAGGCAGGCGTCAGCCGTCGGAAATCCTGGTTCTAGCGGGGCAATGTCAGCCTTGATATTGACACGAGAGAGAAATCATGACAGCAAAAACTCCGTGACAGAGGAATATCGGCGTAGAGAATGAAAAGTCTGCCATTTTCTACCAACAGCTCTCTACCCGTATGAATTTCCGATAGCATATGAATCAATGGATGATTTGTCGTCCGTTTTGCGATGCTTCATTAAAGCCTTTTATTTACGTAACATGTTCAGTGATTACTGTTTATAATTTACAATGTTTCAAGTCTTGCTGAACAAAAATAGCGAAAATCTAGCTGTTGTGCTCCTTTAGAGACGATGGGGCTACGCCGTTACGCTTTTTATTTCTTTTATCCCCCATTCAGATATTTCCCATGTTGTAACCATTCTATCTGATAGGGCCCTCATTACACCACTGACCTGGCGGATGGTTGTTCTTCTTGAACACGCTGTACACGGCGGCGGCCAGCACCGACAGCGTGACGATCAGCAGCGCCACGAACATGACGAAGCCGAGGGGGACGCGCTCGACGGACGACCCTGCAGCCCGCCGCCACAGCGGTGGAGTGTCAGTGCCACCACGCTCCCGGGACCCATGGCCGGTCGAACTCTCGGCACTGGAATGCTGTTTATGTTTCTCAGTCGTGGACTCAGCCAAGGTTACATCGTATGTAGATATGCTGCGTCATTAAAGACATTATGGTCGTTTTTGTAAATAATGTTATGATTGAGGACTGATGAGTTATGATAGGCGAGAGTCAACAAAGTCCGATGTTTTGTATAAAGACACATACAAGGCAGTAGGTACGCTTTGTTTAAAGTTAGGTACCAGTTGTTCACTGTGAAAATAACACCTCTATTGGCGTCTGTAATTTCAAATGCCTAGAGGCATTGGTTCGAAACTAACATGCTTTAGTTTGGTTTGTTTGTCTAATTATGGACGGGTGATTAACTCAATTCACACACCCCTCACGACACCGCTCTCCGGCCCGCTCCGATCCGAGCCAGGCGACTGGGCTCTGCATTCACCGCCGCGCTACCTCACAGCCGGGCTACAAAGCGGCGACCCGGGCCGGTGTCATACGGCGTGGATAGGCTGCGCCGCTTAACGCGCAGGTCATGCGGCACAGTCTACCAGTACCAGGCGGCTGCTGCCAGTACTGAGGCTTCGATAACCGGTGGATAAAGAGTCCCTGTCGATTAACCTTTACACGACTGTACAACTGCTCGTAGATCAGTTATGTGATCTAACCGTCAGTGATTACGCTCGTCATTATGTACAATTTGTCCATTTACCGTGGAGAACAATGAGACGAATTTAAATCACAGTTTGTAGCGAAGATATTAATTGTGATGTCTTTTAATGCTCAGCTTTCCTATAGTTCGCATCACAAAAGGGATATCCTCCTTAGATGTTTGATTCCGAGGTATACCTACAGGAGTAGCATCACTGAAGACTTTGCCCATTGCCCATTATTCGCCTCTGCCTAAGCCCTAAAACAATTGAAACAACAGCTGTCAAAAATAGGGAATGTTTCCAAAGACGAAATGCGGAATGTTTCCAAAGATGGAATGCTTTTTAAAAATGCAAACACGTGGCGGGTTGTCTGTACAGTCTGTCTTAAAAGTACCGCGCAAAGTAACGGCGGATCCATCAAGCCTGACCGAGGAAGGGCCTGCTAAATTTTAGTCACCGAAGCAATTGACATACTCGTCTATTCCCCACACTATAAACCAAATCTACAAGTTGGCTCCTTGTTACAAGTTTGGTTCCAATTCGCATAGGCATCACCTTGTCGATACCTTGTCGATTCACCAGCCTCAAGCTTGTTGGCCAACAAACTAACAGTTTGTCTACAAGTTTGGTTCCAATTCGCATAGGCGTCACCTTGTCGATACCTTGTCGATTCACCAACCCCAGGCTTGTTGGCCAACAAACTAACAGTTTGTCAACAAGTTTGGTTTCAATTCGCAATAGGCGTCACCTTGTTGAGTACTAGTCTGGGCCTTGTGGACCTACCAACTTCTGGATAGGCGTAGTCGTTTCCTTGTCGGTTCACCAACCCCTGGTTTGTTGATGAACTAGCCTTTGACTGGGCATTGCTACACTGTAAACTCATTTCAACAAACGTTTGTTACTTTTACAAGGAAAATTATTTAGCGCAAATCCCCGCACCCTTTGCCATGTCATCGAACGACCCTATTGTTTGTCATGGTAGTTGTTCTTACAACCCACTCACATGTAGTTCGTTAGACTAGCTACCAAAGTTTGCTTTGTCATTGTTGTGTGAACGACTGTGTTCCTAGTTATAATCATGCGGCTACTAGGTAAAGACCTGCGCATGTTTGCATTTAACAGGGCTGAGCCGTGTACTTGTTCAGTCAAATCAATGCAAATCTTAGTTAGCATAGTAATGTCTACGTGCAGCAAACCTGTACTTGTAAGCAATCTACTACTGTTAACGCCAGACCCCGTTTCAAGACCTGCCGAAACTTTTACAATTTAGATATTTTGTCGCCATTTCAATATTTCAGGCACTTCTCATTGACTCGTAATGTTAAATTTCGAGCAAGATTTTCACCCGGTGTGTAGAGGCTATCACCAGTCAGTCTGTGATACGTTATGACGTCAAAGCTAAGCCCCGCCTCTGTGGTCTTGGCCTGCGGCGGTTTCGGGCCGGCGCGCGGTCACTCGCGCTGTGGCGGGGAGCGGGGACGGTCGAGCGGTGCCGAAAGCCGGCTGAGTTGTGCGTAACGTCTTGTCTGACAGTGCCCAAAGAACGACATGATGACTGAGGAGCCATAAATGCTCAATGCGCATTGCTTGTACAATGCTGATAGGTTCGCTGATATTTGTTTTATTTTTCATAAGCTGCAAATGACGGGCAGATGACATATACCTGACATAAGGTTAGGAAATATTTACCTGTATTTAAAGCCTATGGCGTTACAGATAATGTGATAATGGAATGTCGGATTTGTATATCGCTATGCAACCATCGAACAACGCAATAATTAGTTAATTGCCTTCGCTTCACATCATAAGGCTCGCTCGTATTTCAAGCATATATCCTACATCGTAAATCGTATTGGTTAGAAATCTTTAACGTTTGTTCGAAGCATGTGTGAGTAGTAGGTTGAGGAGTGGTGGTCCTCTTGGTCCTATGACGAGAGTCAACAAGAGCCTAACATTTACTTGACCGTCTGCTGCAATTTGAATTGATACATAGCACGTGAAGCGTCAGCGAAATTCATAGTCCTTTACAGATGGCAGGGGTGTCGTTTGTGCAGAGGTCGCTGATGGGCACGGGTCAATGCCGCAGTCGTGGGCGGAGCCTAATGTCATATGACGTTACGACGTATGAAAGCCTCTATCCAGAATGGAAAAACAGTTAACACTACGAGTCAATGACAAGTGCCACAAATATTTAAATGACAACAAAACGTATTTGAAGAAAAAGTTTCGGCAGGTCTTGAAACAGCTATTTCCTAAATATGGTTGAAATTCTTCCACGCATTTAAAAATAATCGCGAAAAATTAGGGTCTCAAGGGGTCTGGCGTTAACAGTAGTCTCAGGCTTGTAACGTTTTACAAAGACCTCCCTTGTATTCGTCAGTTTTCTCCACAAATCGCAGGTCACCGCTCTGCAGTCTCATCATTACAGCAAAACAGCATTACTGAAAGTAGGTCATGTATTTAAAATGGTACATACTACATACACATTACACACACAATGGTGATGACACTGATGACCCAAGTGGCAAGGGCAATAACGCATGCGAAAAGGCAATGAGCGTCATCACTTACGAGTACACTGTAGAATCACACGTTTACATGCATTAGGTTTGAGTTAAGATAGTCATCTTGGGTTCCCTGCCTCGCAATCAGGGGCGGATCCAGGAAAACTCCAAGGGGAGGGTCATGAATCGAAGTGGTGCCCCTACCTATACCCAAAATTAAAAACTCAACGGATTTCGTCCACTTCATTTTGGTGGTGCCCCCATTTTCAGTTTTTTTTTCTTTTTATTTTTTATTTTTAGTCAGTATCTTAACTCTTAGCCACAACCACATTTACCAATTGTAAGCAAGTATATATGAATGTGCTATGTGCATAGATGCTATGTGTATATGTTACGGGCCAAGTGCGAAGGCTAGTCCGTTTGCGAACGGACTAGTCCATTCGCGAATGGACTAGGCCGTTTGCGAATGGCGGTCCGTTTGCAAACGGACTAGTCCGTTTGCGAATGGCCGGCCATTCGCGAATGGCCTAGGCCGTTTGCGAACGGACGGGTTTGTGGCGTTGCACTTAGCCGCCGGAAGCATGGATCCTCGGATTGGGGTACGATTCCGAATGAATGGGGGACCGCTGGTCGATGCAGGGGCGTCGCCGACGGGGGGGGTCGGAGGGGTCCGGACCCCCCCCCCCACGCACACATTCTTGAAAATATGCCGGTCCGACGCCCCCCCCCCCTCCCCCCCCCACACACACACTTTTGGCGACGAAAATCGATCAAGAATAAAATAAAATATTTTTAAAACGATTTTGGTGCATTCTCAAAATAAAATTGTCTAAATCCGAGGAGTTTTCAGTATTTGGTGGGGATTACTTTGACTGACAGTCCGACCAGATCCCCTAGTCGAAAATCCGTGGCGACGCCACTGCGTCTACATGTTTAGTTTGTTCTCCGGAGCAAATCTGCGAGCTGGCGCAACTCTGGGTTAAGGTCTCCACACACCTGGTCCATTCTGGATGCGACTTTCCGCTGAACCCTGCACAACGCGGAAATTATAGCAACGTGTTGCCGCTGACCAGGCTTCGGCCACCGATCTGGATCTGGGGAGGTCAAATATCCCCGTGACCTTCGAACAGCGGAGAGTCGCGTGGTGTGCGGAGACCATTAGTACCGTGCTCCGGGCTCCCCGCTGATGACCCGACCTGACCTTGGTCGAGTTTGCGGCGCTCGATTCATTCTGCTCTGGTGTGGTGTACCGGGACGGTGCGGCTTGTGTGTGGTGACTTTGCACACGGGACTTTGCACATGCCAAGTTGACTTGCCAAGTTGACGTCACTTTGCTGGATATTTCGCACTTGGCCTGACTTCGCACTTGGACTGGGAGCATAAACGCCCGTCCATTCGCAAACGGCCTAGGCCAACTGCAATAACGCACATGGACTAGTCCATTCGCAAACGGCCTAGTCCAAGTGCGTTATCGCACTTGGACTAGGCCATTCGCGAATGGACTAGCCTTCGCACTTGGCCCGCAACATATATATGTTGTGGACGCTGAGTAGTGAGTACTTACCAGAAACGTTATCAGGTAAGCAAATCGTTGTCAGTCCGACGAACTTGACCCTGGCGTCTAAAGGGTCTGTCCTTGACACTTCAGGCTTGTCAGGGGCACCAAAGTCCTTCCAGGGACACCACAAACCTTTCAGGGGCACCTACGGCCTTGTAGGGGCGCCACAGGCCCGCCAGGGGCACCACAGGCCTGCCAGGAAGTAGGGGCACCACAGGTCTAGCAAGTATACACGACAGGCCTGTCAGGGGCACAACGGACCTGTTGGGCCCATGAGCACCCCTAGGGGCAGGGGCACCACAGTCCTTCCAGGGGTACCGCAGGCCTGTGAGGGGCACC